GGGTACTATGTGTTTCTCAAGGTGTCACCCAAAAAGAGAGTGTTTAGATTTGACAAGAAGGAAAAATTAGCTCCAAGGTACATTGGACCATTTGAAGTGATCAAAGCGGTGGGCAAAGTGGCATACCAACTTCAGTTACCAGCTCAGTTATCAGGGGTACATGACGTGTTTCATGTGTCAATGTTGAAAAAGTGGCAATCGGATACAACGCATGTTGTGGATTTGGAGGATATAGAAATTCAAGATGGGGCAATATATGAAGAACAACCGGTGGATATTTTCGATGCTAATGAGAAGGTGTTTCGCAATAAAGTCATCAAACTGGTGAAAGTCTTGTGACAACGTCATGGGGTTGAGGAAACTACTTGGGAACCAGAGCTGAAAATGCGAGAGAAGTACCCTAATTTGTTCACTACTTAAGGTAAGTTTCGAGGACGAAATTTTCTTTAAAGAGGGTGGATTGTAAACCCCCACACTCTTATCTTTATATAGCAAGTAATTATTTTTGAAATACTAAAATAGGTGATGAGGTGTGCATGAACCCTGTAGATTGTACTAGTATGAATAAATATTAGGGAGACAAATTGATTGTGAAATTTAATTTTTGGAGGTGTTTAAGGTTGATAAGGATAATTAAGTATAAATATTAATTTTTTTAGGTCAAAATAATATAATCATTGAACTTGAGAGATCTGAAAAATTTGCAATAACCGTTTAGCACATGTAGCAGTTCAGAGGAATAAAATAGTAATTTTAGTGTTTCGAGTGTAAATTTACTTTAGTTTTGAGATAAATCATAAAAATAAATATTTTTAGATTAAAATAACATTAAAAATGAATCCGGAATGTCGAAAAACCTTAAGTTAGTCATATGGATCAAATTAGAGATTTTTAGTGGCAAAACCATAATTTTGGAGAAAACTCAAATTTCAACCCATGAATAGTAACTTCGGCCCTGTGTTTAAAACATAGATTTCAACCCATTTTTTTTCGATTTTTTCATTCCACTCTCACCCCAAACGTCTTAGAACCCTAGGAGAAAATAAAGGACAGAAGAAAGTATCTAAAGTTTGGATTTTGCTTAGAATTCTTGATTGCTAGGTAGAGGTTTCTTTTTACGCTTATTCATTGAGGTTAGAGCTTATATATATATATATATATATGTTTTGACTCTAAATTTTAGATACATGTTATGAAATCATGGTTTCTTGATGTCCTTGCAAATCCTATTATGTTTTGAATGAAATTATGGTTGATAGCCATGAAATCCTTGTTGTAATCTTAAAACCCTTGATTCTTTTAAGAAATAAAGATTTTTTTTCTTGATATTCCTTGTTCTTGATTTTAAAACTCTAGTGCTTCGTTTGAACAATAAAAATATATGTTTGATGATCTCTTGCATATTTTTCTTAAATTTGCTCTGTTGGAAAAATATCTATGGAATTGGAGTTTTTTTGATTTACTTGTGATTTGAGAAATTGGTAGGTATTGTATCTCTTGTGTGGATGTTTAAATGACCATGAGTGACCGTTGACTGGGTATCGTAGAGTGGGTAGATGTGTTTTTTATTCTGTGCAGGTTTGAATTTTTCCTACCACTCACAGTGGGGTTGGTGTCTTGCAAGGACCAAACCACTATTCACTCATGAGTATCAAGGTTGAGGGTTAGTATACTATTCCTAGGTTAGATTCGTCACTGCCAATGCGTCAGTATACGCCTTTCCTAAAGTTGGGTATCCTTGCGAGGATTGAATGTATGTGTATGGGTCAGAATATTCTCAATGTGTGTATTCATGCGAAGTCTTACATCATACCTGAGATATATTGTGGGCTATTGTTTATTGTGAAAATGGTTAGTTATGATTTATTGTGGAAAGAAGTTTATTGTGGACATGGTTATTATGGAAATGGTAATTCGTTGGAATTGTTATTTTTGAGAATTGATTTTACTTTTCATTTAATTATTGTTATTGTGTAAACTTGAAATCTANGAAAATGGTTAGTTATGATTTATTGTGGAAAGAAGTTTATTGTGGACATGGTTATTATGGAAATGGTAATTCGTCGGAATTGTTATTTTTGAGAATTGATTTTACTTTTCATTTAATTATTGTTATTGTGTAAACTTGAAATCTATTGAAATGTCTCTGTTTTCCTTCAAAAGCTATATATGATATTTGTAAAATGAGACCGACTGTTTTATATGCTTTCAAAACCTTGTTTGAGTTTGAAAGAATTTTTCTACAGAGCTTAGTGTCCACCCCCTAGAAACAATATCTTTTTTAGATTATGGTCTAGAAGAGGAGCTCGGAGTTGATGAACTGGTACATTTGGAAGCTCCAATAGATGGGAACATNGAAACAATATCTTTTTTAGATTATGGTCTAGAAGAGGAGCTCGGAGTTGATGAACTGGTACATTCGGAAGCTCCAATAGATGGGAACATGAATCCCGAGGTGGACGTTTAGAGCTATATTCCCTTATGTTCTAGACTAGGAAATTCATTTTGAGACAATGTGAAGTCTAATATTTTTGTTATTCCGCTGCAAGATAATAATTGATTTTTTTTTGGATGTAATTGCCAAAGTTGGGCATATTATTTTGGATGATGTTGTATATATTGTGGACGATGAAAGAAATTCTCTTTTGTTATGAAGTTCATTTAGTTGCTCTCATAATATGAATGATTTTAGATAGTAACGTCGTCCAAGGGGGATTTTGCGGCGTTACAAATCAAACTCATATGGACTGTTTTAATGTAAAATAAAAATTGCATGTGGTTATATGAGTATGGATAAATGGACCTAGTGTGGTCAATGTTTTCTTATAAATGAACCCAGTGTGATCAATATTTATTCATAAATAGACCTGGTGTGGTCAATGTAGTATAATTGTACAAGTTGTGTATTGGGTAGAGATCCTTGTATAAAGGAGAATCTGTCCGAATTTTGTTAAATTAAGGACCTCGTTTTTTAGGGCATTACATGCACACAAATGCAAAACAGAGAGAGATGGTTGTTTGAGTTATTTTGTTTAGAATTGATACAACTGGATTTAAGTTTCTTGTTTGGATTTGATGCAATTGGGTTAGATTTTATGCAACTTGGGTGGTAATAAAACTAGATAAAAGACGGTGGCGTTAACCATCACAAAAGCAAAACAAAGAGTGAGGGTTGTTTGAGTTATTTTGTTTGGAATTGATGCAATTGGATTTAAGTTTCTTGTTTGGATTTGATGCAACTAGGGTTAGATTTGATGCAACTTGGGTGGTGATGAAACTAGGCAAAAGATAGTGGTGTTAAATATACACACAAAAGCAAAAGAGAGAGGGATGGTTGTTTGAGTTATTTTGTTTGGAATTGATGCAACTGGATTTAAGTTTCTTGTTTAGATTTGATGCAACTTGGGTGGTGATGAAACTAGGCAAAAGATAATGGTGTTAACCATGCACACAAAAGCAAAAAGAAGGTTGTATAAGTTATTTTATTTGGAATTGATGCAACTGGATTTAAGTTTCTTGTTTGGATTTGATGCAATTGGGGATAGATTCGATACAACTTAGGTGGTGATGAAACTAGGCAAAAGATAGTGGTGTTAACCATGTACACAAAAGTAAAAAGAGAGTTGTTTAAGTTATTTTATTTAGAATTGATGCAACTGGATTTAAGTTTCTTGTTTGCATTTGATGCAATTGGGGTTAGATTTGATGCAACTTGGGTGGTGATGAAACTAGGCAAAAGATAGTGGTGTAAACCATGCACACAAAAGCAAAACAGAGAGGGAGGGTTGTTTGAGTCATTTTTGTTTGGAATTGATGCAACTAGATTTAAGTTTCTTGTTTGGATTTGATGCAATTGGATTGAATTTAATGAAACAATTTTTGGATGCATGCAAAAGCAAAACAATGATGGACTTTGGAATTTTCTACCCCTTCTCTCTCTCTCGCTCAAATTCTCTAGTGATAATTCAGTACGATTGGTGGAATTAAGTTGATAGAGTAAAAAATTGTTGAAATTCAAGAACGTTTGCGACGATGATGATTTTGTAGTAAGGGTGGTGATGTGTAGAGTGTGTTAGAGCATAGGGTTGATGCTTTTAATTTTTGTTGGGTTTTAACTTAAACATTGTTGATTAACTTTCTACTACTGGATTTTGTTTTTTCAGGTGGGTTTCCCTTTTAGCATTCTAATTTTGTTGAGTCTAATTGATTATATTTTGGGTGATTGATTTGTTATTGAGTTAAAATTGTTTGGTGTTCCAGAGTTTTTCAAACACAAAGAATATAGCTCTGAGTAGTTAGAGGAAGAAGATAGTGAGAGTATTAAGGTAAGTAATCACTTCTGGTAATAGTCTTAGTTGTGCGTCTTAGTCCTAGTGTCCATGTTTTGACTTTAAATATTATTTTATTTAAAGCCTAATTAAGACACATTAATTTGAAATATTTAGAACTTTCCTCCAAATCTTTCCGCCGTTCAAATTTATAAAATTTGGTGTGTTTCGTCTTGTTAGGCAAAGACTTACTGGTTGGTGATTCTTTCGGTGCAANAGAGTATTAAGGTAAGTAATCACTTCTGGTAATAGTCTTAGTTGTGCGTCTTAGTCTAAGTGTCCATGTTTTGACTTTAAATATTATTTTATTTAAAGCCTAATTAAGACACATTAATTTGAAATATTTAGAATTTTTCTCTAAATCTTTCCACCATTCAAATTTATAAAATTTGGTGTGCTTCGTCTTGTTAGGTGAAGACTTACTGGTTGGTGATTCTTTCGGTGCAAGTAAAGGGCATGTGACGCAAGGTCCTCTAAAGGGTCAATGGCTCATTGAAGGGTAAAAGTAGCAACATAATTTTAACAGCTAAAGTTTTGATCCTCTTACAGCTCTACAATAATTTGGGACCATTCATATTCTCACATTCACTTTCTCTGGCATTCGTTATAAATGAGACAGAGACAAATCCCCAAGAAGAGCCATTGAAGATATTAGATTGCTGTGGAATATTTTCATATGGCTGAGAAGTAAGCGACAGACCCAACAAAGGCTGCGTTGATGTATGTAGCCGGTTCGGATTGCTGATAATTATTCCGATCATCAGCAAAATTGTCTTTGCTGTCAGGACCACCGACGATCGCTCCAACAAGCACATTTGGATTGGGTGAGCCAGAGTACAGGTACTGGAATCCAGAATTGCAAGCAATGTGGTCTGGATGAGCATGTACAGATGGTAAGGAGGATCCCCTATGGTGGACGTGTAGCGGATACCTCTGACCAAACCCTACCATGTATGATATCTTTGCTGGATTATCACCTAATATGTAGTCAACCTGTTTCTTTGCCAGGGCAATCAGCTTGTCTGCTGTGACTGTTGAAGTCCCACATGTGGCAACTCCGTTGTTTGTGCTCAGATACTTGGCATATGTCAAGAGGAGGAAAGCCGACGACGTAACATACTGTAGATTGCTTTCGCTTCCTTTGTAGAGAAGCCCTCCTGTAAATCATTGCGCTCGAGGTGAAAAAGTTTGTAACCATTTTATACAAGATGAACTCAAGGAGCTGTCCGTTTTTGATTGTAAGAATGATAACATCGGAAGAGATGTAGAAGAAGTGCTGTAGCTGACCTGGTGTATACTGGGCCTGGAAATTAGGGGATCCTGGTATCAAAGAACATATGTAATTATCCGAGTGTGCTTTGTATAATTGAAATTCTTCAGTTTTCTTCTCCAAGAAGTCCTGTGGAATAGGTCCAGAAAAAAAGTTAGGCTTTGAATCATTAGTGTTTTTATATTCTAAGAGCACGTTTGAGTTTAAGAAGAAAACCTTGGAAAGAAGGACCTTAGTTCCAGGTCGCTTATCATCCCAACTGAAGGAATAGTCATCTTCATCTGCGCCCATTGTGTGGCCGTTCGATTGGATGTAAGCCAAATATGAGGTATTCTGTGATGCTCTATGAAGCCATGATGCTCCCCATAAGAGCTCATCCTAGTTCCAAATATAGGGATTTAGGAACTATGATTAATGTCATTAATTCAGGAAAGAAAGTGAGTGATTGATCTTACATGATATCCTGAGTAAGAGCAGTAAAATGGACAGACTACTGAATTGAGAGAGTCACTGTAAGAACCTCTGAACCTGTCTGCAAAATCGAACACCTGCACAGTACATTGCAGTCTGTTTTATTATCAATGAAGTCAGAAAAAATGAAAAGAAGGGCAGCTGCGGAAGTGTTTACTTTCATGGCAGTTTGAAGTAATTTTGTGGAATAAGAAGGATCAGACTCCTTGAAGACAATTGAAGCCGCTGCCAATGCAGCGGCTGTCTCTGCTGCTACATCAGACCCTGGGTTTTGAGAGGACACCTTATAGACATTGCGTGGTGTGTCCATGTCTTCGGGTCTCTCCCAGCACCGATGATCCATGTTTGGCTCCCCCACCTGCCCCAAGTAAAGCTAAATTGTGTAAGCCCTTGAGCAGTTAAAAAGAACAAAATGTGTAGCAATGCAGATGCCTGTTCAACCTTTCTGGTTTTCCTTTAATCTTTCTCTTAAGATGCCGATACAGTCAATTTGCTTCTCTCTGCTGGACAGAGGATATGAAATCTCTGTTTTAAAGTCTTTTACTTGAAATGGCGCCACAAGCTTTAGTGTTCAGTGAGGAGTTGTTGGTATAAACTGGTAATCTGGTATCAATACTTAAAAAAGTGATTAACATATGTTCAAACTCTTGGTTGTCCATTCTCTGATGTTCTGCATCTGAGTCCACTATATTCTTAATTGGTATTTGTACAGGTCCATGTGAAAGCCTTTTTTTTTTTTTTTTGCTGTTAATTAAAGTTCCGAAAAAATATCTCTTTCTAAAAAATTTAAATTGTTAGAGTTTATAACTCTAAGCACTTATACATCAATACGCTTTTGAGCATGTTGACCAACTTTTGAACAAACAGGTGTAAGTATTATAATTATCAGGGTGATAGCGAAATTCGAATATAAGTACTATAGTAAACCGCCTTCTCATCTAACAAGCTTAAGTGTTAGAGAGGAGAGGTCATATATATAGATGTTAACAATTTATATGTTTCAATGGTTTTATGTTCGTACTTGGACATATAAGGTGGCAGGGGTTGCGGTGGCTGCTTTTAAAAGATAATCAGTCCCCCAGCGAATGGCAGCCTTGACATTCTCCATTTGGTTGTGCATGGAGTTACCAAACTCAATGACACTCCATGCTAACAACGTGGTCGTGAAGGCCATCGGCAGCCCAAACTTGACATTGTCTCCGGCATCGTAATATCCTCCTACAAGGTCCACCTGGAATTCAAAACAAAACAAAAAGATGAAAGAGCCAAGTCATTAAGCAGAAGCTGCTATTAAATCATGAACAACAAAAGAGCACTTGTTATATATATATATATATATATATATATATATTTACATACGTGATAAGAGGAACCATCAGACAATCCAGAGTCACCCCTCCATGTCTGGCGCTGGGTTGATGGTAATCTACCTGACCTCTGTCCCTCGTAAAATAGTATAGATTTTGCAAGGGCGTCAGAGTAATGTTCTGAGGTGAAGGCAGAGCAAGGTAAGCTTAGGGAACAAAGGGTTAAGCATAGAATCTGCATTGTTAAAGAGACTATAGTAGTGTGACCCATTTCTCTTGCCCTTCCAAGCTTCTACTAGATAAGACTTACTTTAGAGAGGACAGAGCCTAGAGGGTAGTGGGGTTGAGTTTTGTTTTGAGTTGAGGTGAGGTGCCCTTTATATAATGGAAGGAAGTTATAGCACGTTGGTCGTTATGTGTGTGTGTGTGTGTGAGAGAGAGAGAGAGATGGGCGGGGGGGATGGAGTCAGGTCATTCACGGGATCAACTGCGTTAAACGGGACTTCCTGTTTTGATGGCAAGAAACAGATTTTATCCTAAACAGTTGGACTTACATACCTAAATAACACTTGGGGGAGATAAAAAGACAAGAATAGAGACTCCTTCTCATTCTCCTACTAATTCCAATTCATTCATAGGAGAGGTTGTTTTGTGAAAAGTTGACTGCAAGATGGCCAAAAATATGTGTGAATGGTAAACAAGGATACAATGCAGTAAAAGAAGATGCTATTTGTACTCATCAAACCTATTTATAATCATATATACTCAAGTTCTTATTACGTCAGATTTTTATAATCATATATACTCGAGTTCTTATTACGTCAGATTTATGTCATGTATAATTTGTGTAACAAATACTTATTTGTTTCATACGTTTACGACGCAAATGATCGTTAGAAAGTTAAATCCAAACTTACTAATTTTGCGTCAAATTTGTATACCCATTTTAAAAAGTAGGTCAAAAGCTTAAAGTAGCCAATAACACCTAATCAAATGAAATAGTGCTGATTGATGTTGAAGTGATAGGAGAGTAAATCTTTCTTAAAAGATACAGTAATGAAAAATATATTTTTAAAGCATGACTGCGTGATTTACGTAAGAAACCGTGAAGTTAAACATGAAGTATGTTTGGAAGGCGTAATTAAAGGAGTTGGGTTGGGTTGGGGTGTGCTCAGAAGTCCAGAATCAATGCCGATTTGTCAGAATGAGAGGAAGTCTGTTTTGGTATGTCATTTGTCCACAGCAAGTCACGGATAGATTAGGACCTGAAAGTCACGTGTGTTCCACAAACAAGTGCATATACATGCCAGGAACCTGTGAATGGAAGGTTGCAACTTGCCTATCGTTTTAGTTAGTTAGTTAAATGTGTCTTGTGATTGGGGGGGACCTACAATTCCACCAAGAAGGTATGATCACTAGGAATTTCACATGACAGTTCAAGCACTTAGAATGTTTTCTGCAGTAAAGAATTAGTAAATGTTTCGTATCATCACGCTATTCATTGAGTTTAAATGTACTCGAGTTTTATTCGATTGTAACCTTGGACTAATCTCAACTATCAAGCTTAAAGTTCAACTTGCGAGAAGCTCCCAAAAACTTAATAAGTAATCCGGTAAAAAATATTTTTGTCTTCAAAATCTCCAAATAATTAAAATGATATGTAGAAATACTTGAGCTGTTTGACACATGACATGCCTTAACATTTTGTCAAGTAAAACCTGAATTAACAGGAAAAGCATGTGCTTTCCTCCCACGGAGAGAGACAGAGTTTGTTGTTTTTTCCTTTAGGATATGCAGAGAGAGAGAGAGAGAGGGGTTGATTTTGAAATCCGTTTTTTGGACTTTTTACGACTTAAAAGAAAGGAGAAATTGAGCAGCACCCAATGGTTGATTTCCGAGAGAGGAATTGAAGGGGAGGTGCTGCTTGATTTTGTTGACTTTAACTTTGAACTTTTGTTTGTCTACAAGTGACCTACATGGAACAAACGGGAGCTCAAATACTTACACTTCAACGCAAATTTTCTTGACAGGTTTTTCGCTTTTGAAATTATGCTGCCATTAAAACATTAAAATTCAACTTCGTGAAATTGAGAGGTTTGTCTTCCATGGAAGTGCCGGAATTAAAGGAGCACATCCTGTTGAAGTGCTTGGAAAAAAATAGTTGCAGGATTTCTTGGTTCTGTTGTTGGAAGAGAACCTGCTGCAGGGCCTGAACCACGCATGTAGCTGTTATCCCAGGGCAGTGACCTGTGAAATTTTCTTGATGAAATAGAATTGGCTGAAAAGAGTCATACGTTATCCAATGGTAGATTGAACAACACACACAGGACTTCACAATTTTTATGGTAAAGTTTGTTTGCTCAACAATCTTCATAGGGGTGACTTGATTATTTCTGATTTTGATTAAAAAGTGGCTTTCATTCCCTCAGAGACAATAAAAAGTCACAAACGTCAGCAATGACTAAAAAGATTGTAATTGAAAAAACCCAAAAAAACAAAAAGAAAAAACTAATAAGCCTGTCAAAAGTGAGTGCAACATATCAGACCCTATCCCGCACCTACTTCAAACCGGACAAGGATTTAGGGAGCCACCAATTCTAACCTTAAAAAGCATGGCTTAGCCATTTCACACTAACATCCACATGCTTCGTCACTTTAACTTCTTTCAATTTCTCAAATGCCGAGATACGTCCATCCAAAGATGCATAGAAACCGTTCATCTGGAGAGAAAAAATGATAAAGAGTTGAAAGATTTCAATAGATAATAGAGGCGATCCATTTGCTTAATAAAATACCAAGTCATAGCCACAATCTTACATAATATTTCACTGGAATTAACTAATTTTATTAGGTTTCTTAATTTATCTCGTTGACATTGCTCTTGAGTATGCCTGGACAAGGCTGCCATTAGTTATGTAGAGCAACTTGTTACTTAATCAATTAACTTCGTTGCTGAAGTTTTGTAGTTTTCATTATTTTTTGTCTGTCATAGTTTTTTGTTTCAATCTAACACGCTCAACAATTTCTCCCCAGTGCTTCAACTAAGCACCCCAGATATCTGATAGAAAGGGTGATTGTCAAAACCATATTTTTCTACTTCATTGTTTACTGAAGCAGAGTATCATTAGAGCAGAGCCATTAAATTGCTCATGTTACAGCCTTTCCAACCACATTGGAATGCCGTGTGAGTTGACCACTTAAGGCCAGAGACCTTCTGCTCTCTCACTCATGTGCACTGAAAGTTTATTTAATGACCACTAACTATTAGGGTTTCAATAAGAACACGCTAAATCAGATAAACTGTAGTTAGAACCTAAGTCCATCATGTAATAATACTGATAAGGATGAAAATTAAGGCATGAGCCTCCATAATCCAAGAACCCAATAAGCCCAAGAACCCTTTAATTACCCAACAACACAAATAGGGGGCCNACCTTCTGCTCTCTCACTCATGTGCACTGAAAGTTTATTTAATGACCACTAACTATGAGGGTTTCAATAAGAACACGCCAAATCAGATAAAGTGTAGTTAGAACCTAAGTCCATTAAGTAATAATACTGATAAGGATGAAAATTAAGGCATGAGCCTCCATAATCCAAGAACCCAATAAGCCCAGGAACCCTTTAATTACCCAACAACACAAATAGGGGGCCCACAACTTGCTTTGTTGGAAGTCTAAAAGGCTGGACCCTAGGAGGAAAAGCCCTACTTCACTAGAAGGCTTGCAACCCAATCCTGTCCGGTCGATGAGCAGTCTAGGGTAGAGAGGCCCAACCTGATACAAACTCTGGAGCACCTCGTTGCGTCACGTGTCCAGGGGACCATCACTAACACCCCCAACAGTCACATTCTCGGATGCAGAGTATATTGGTGTGCATAACCATCTAGAGATCGTGGGAACAGTGGCGTCGGATGAACAGTGACTCCAGATGACAGAGGTTGTTACAGGGTACAGACGGGGGGACCAACGAAATCGGCATAAAAGAAGGAGGAGTAGCAAGAAACCCTATACAAGTCATTGTATAAGTAAAGGACTGTTACCCAAAAGGGGCGCTCTCTTCTTCTCCATTATTCACGTTCTCAAGCCAAGGACCTAGTAATTAGAACAAAACACACAATCCTCGTAAAGAACCCCTGTGTCTGAATCATCGTCGTACTGGCCAAGGATTAAGCAATATGCGACCTTAATGGGGTAAGAGACTCCATTATAGTGGACTTAGCCTTAGTCCTTCGGCTAAGGTAAACTACTTACATCTTGCGCTCTTTTAGTCTCCTATGATTAATCACCTAATCATAAAATCATAATCGAATCCTTGATACCTCATCAGTTTGGGCTTGGGCTGTTATTTCTGAGCATCATCAACGCCTCTGTCATCGTGAAGGGATTTTTCAACTGCCGGGAACATATCGAGGATGCTTTTCTTGACCTTGACCTAGGTTCCTTTGTGCCACGACTTGGGTTTAAGAAGATGACAGAGGTGTCTAAAGAGACTGAGACATCCGGTGCTGAGAAGGCATCTGTAACCGAGGTAGTCGTGACGGAGGAGCTCAGTGCCCAGACAAAGGCAGTTGGTGGGGGAGTCGGTGGTGGTAAAGAAACTGTTCTTTGAGACCGGCTTGTGGCTACTTCTTTTATTCTATGTAATTCATTGATGGTCCTCGTTCTGCACTATTTTCTTCTCTTCTTAATGGTTACGTAACCTCTAGAATGGANAAAGAAACTGTTCTTTGAGACCGGCTTGTGGCTACTTCTTTTACTCTATGTAATTCATTGATGGTCCTCGTTATGCACTATTTTCTTCTCTTCTTAATGGCTACGTAACCTCTAGAATGAAACTTGCATAGCCATTCTAGGATCCAACGTGGAGATTAGCTCGAACAGGGCGGTCACAGCGGCCTCAGGATCGCAAAGGAAGCCTCTCCCTTGCGTCTTGGACTTGGAGGGAATATATTCCTCCTTCTCGCCTTTCTGAGAAACTGACTGAGGAGAAGTGTGAGAGGCCGCCAGAACCCCGGGCTGTCCCGCCGAAGTCCCCTCAGGAGGAGATTTGCTCTTAGGAAGTTCGAGGGGTGACGAGGGCGCGATTACACCCCCAAGGGAGGGAAGGTCCTCACGCGTCTGCTCTGAGGAGGTGGGCATTGGCCCGAACATCGATGCCTCCTTGAACGACGGCTGTAAACCCTTCACCAGCTTCCACGTCTTCTCGGTATCCAAAAAAACTGCCATGATTAAATCTTGATCCATAGATTCGGGCAGACGATGACACTATCTCCGGAACAGGGTCAATGGGCGACCCTAGCTTGTACTTAGTAAGGTTCTCGTCGGTCGATAGATCAAAGAAGGATTACAACCCAAAAACCTTGGCTTTAGCAACCTGGCAGCCTCCTTCGCAATGATTGTTGGGCAAAAGCTTGCCAATCAGGTAAAAAATTAGCAAGGCATAAAAATAGAGGCAGAAAGGTAAGCACATTTAATTGGTTGTTCTTACTAGTGTTCCTTGGAATATCCTAAGACCCGGGGATGCGAGGAACATCACTAGGCTCTCCTGACAGCTCCCAAGAGTTACCCTTGATGAAGAAAAACCTTAGTTTCTACCCCTTGTTAGAGGAAGGGAGCCCAGAAATTAGGTTCTTCTTCTTGACCCTTTTTGCAAAATATAAGAAGCCTAAGGAAGGAGAATATTTGAGCTGGAAGAGAGAGGCAAACTCTCGAATGGTAGGGTGGGAGTCGTTCCCCCTTTCAAACCAGTGAACAAGGAATCCAATTAGAAAGCCCCAGCCGTTTGGAAAAAATTGGGCTAGGCAAACATTTTAAAAACCAATAACATTCTAGATAAAAGGATGGACTGAGAATTGAAGGCCAGCCCAAAATACAGACTCGAAGAAACAGGTCAGCCCGGAAAGAGAGCTGTTACGCCTCTTGTGCATCTCAAGAGAATTCAAATACACAAAATCAGAAAAATGATACTCCCGCCTCAATTCCTCTAAATTCTCATCATTCAGACAACTGGGAGTCGTTTCTACACAACAAGTCAAATCGGTTTGGTTTCAATGAGCTTTCTTCCTAGGATTGGAAGGTGGAATCGGCTTGGGCTTCCTCTTCCTCGGTTGGTTAAAGGGACTCAGAGGTAATGATCAGGGAGCCTCAGTCTCTGCCGAAGGAGCTAAGATCGAGACCTCAAGAGCAAACCCAAAAGCCTCCTCGTTAGTAGTAAGAGAACGATCACTAGAACAAGCCGAGGTAGCCTTCTCATCGACCTGCTCATCAAACTCTGACCTAGTAGAAGAAACGACAAACTTCCCCATCAAAGGCTTAGGCCACAGACCGTANTAGATCAAAGAAGGATTACAACCCAAAAACCTTGGCTTTAGCAACCTGGCAGCCTCCTCCGCAATGAGTGTTGGGCAAAAGCTTGCCAATCAGGTAAAAAATTAGCAAGGTATAAAAATAGAGGCAAAAAGGTAAGCACATTTAATTGGTTGTTCTTACTAGTGTTCCTTGGAATACCCTAAGACCCGGGGATGCGAGGAACATCACTAGGCTCTCCTGACAGCTCCCAAGAGTTACCCTTGACGAAGAAAAACCTTAGTTTCTACCCCTTGTTAGAGGAAGGGAGCCCAGAAATTAGGTTCTTCTTCTTGACCCTTTTTGCAAAATATAAGAAGCCTGAGGAAGGAGAATACTTGAGCTGGAAGAGAGAGGCAAACTCTCGAATGGTAGGGTGAGAGTCGTTCCCCCTTTCAAACCAGTGAACAAGGAATCCAATTAGAAGGCCCCAGCCGTTTGGAAAAAATTGGGCTAGGCAAACATTTTAAAAACCAATAACATTCCAGATAAAAGGATGGACTGGGAATCGAAGGCCAGCCCAAAATACAGACTCGAAGAAACAGGTCAGTCCGGAAAGAGAGCTGTTACGCCTCTTGTGCATCTCAAGAGAATTCAAATACACAAAATCAGAAAAATGATACTCCCGCCTCAATTCCTCTAAATTCTCATCATTCAGACAACTGGGAGTCGTTTCTACACAACAAGTCAAATCAGTTTGGTCTCAATGAGCTTTCTTCCTAGGATTGGAAGGTGGAATCGGCTTGGGCTTCCTCTTCCTCGGTTGGTTAAAGGGACTCAGAGGTAATGATCAGGGAGCCTCAGTCTCTGCCGAAGGAGCTAAGATCGAGACCTCAAGAGCAAACCCAAAAGCCTCCTCGTTAGTAGTAAGAGAACGATCACTAGAACAAGCCGAGGTAGCCTTCTCATCGACCTGCTCATCAAACTCTGACCTAGTAGAAGAAACGACAAACTTCCCCATCAAAGGCTTAGGCCACAGACCGTAATGTAGAGAAGGTAAATGTAAGGCACAATTCATCAAAAATAGGTTTCAAACACCAGGCCCTAAGAAAGGATACCCTTGACAGAGAGAAATAATATACCAATTGCGAAAGGGAAGAGAGATCGTTGGAGTGGTCCCTAAAGTAACTAACCTCCAGATCAAAAAGCAGAACCTAAAGCCCCACCAGGGAAGGTTAAAGGGATCCAGGTCAAGCAAAAAGGAAAAGGAAAGAATAACGTACCTAGTAAGGTGATGGAAGCAGAAAGGAACCAAAAACACAGACACCCTAAATCACCATAAAGTTTGGAACAAGATGTCTCTAAAGCCGAAGGAAAGGGAGGAGCACGAAGGAAAAAGGGTTCAAAATCATGATGCGAAGAAAGGTGAAGAGATTTTCCCCCCTTTTATGCAACATTTAATTCGTGACAGATATACGGCAGAACGCGCAAGAAAAATTGTATTTACGGGTTCACCCGTTGTTGACACGTGTGCATAGTCATCTCATCATAGCCGGCAGACAGTAACACAACCCACTTCAGGTCAGAACTAGTAATCAAGCACAACCGCCGCTCAACGAAGCAATGTTGAGTTTGGAAAAGACGTTTCTAACCCCATATTAGAGATGATGTCATTCGTGTGACCTGGGGCTAGGGGGCAACCAACTGATGATGCTCGGAAATAATGACCCAAGCCCAAACTGATGAGGTATCAAGGATTTGATTGTGATTTTATGATTAGGTGATTAATCATAGGAGACTGAAAAAGCGCAATATGTAAGTGGTTCACCTTAACCGAAGAACTAATGCTACGTCCACTGTAATGAAATCTCTTACCCCTTGAGATCGTATATTGTTTAATCCTTGGCCAGTACAATAATGATTCAGACACGGGGGTTCTTTACAAGGGTTGTGTGTTTTGTTCTAATTACTGAGTCTTTGGCTTGAGAACGTGAATAATGGAGAAGAAAAGAGCGCCCCTCTTGGGTAACAGTCCTTTACTTATGCAATGACTCCTTTAGGGTTTCTTGTTGCTCTTATTTTTTTTGCACTGATTTCGTTAGTTTCTGTCATCTGGCGTCACTGTTCTCACGATCTCTGAATGGTTATGCGCACCAATATACTCTACATTTGGGAGTGTGTGACTGCTGGGGATGTCAATAATGGTCCCCTTACCCTTTGGACATGCGGCGCAACGGAGTGCTCCAGAGTTTGTATTAGGCTGGGCCTTTTTACAATGGGCTGCTCATTGACCGGACATGATTTGGTTGCAAGTCTTCTAGTGAAGTTGGGCTTTTTCTCCTAGGGTTCGGCCTTTTAGACTTCCAACAAGGCAAGCTGTGGACCCCCTATTTGTGTTGTTGGGTAATCAAAGAGTTCCTGAGCTTATTGGGTTTTNGGTAGGATAGAGTAAGAATACGAAAATTTAATAAATATTCACATTTTTACCGCTTTCACATTCCTACCGCATATATATATATATATAAACTAAAAATTCTAATTGCCTAACGCCTCATCACTTCCTCAAGATTCAGGACCTCATCTGTCTTATCTCTCTCGCATTTAGTCTCCTCATCTTGCCTCCCTCACCAGTCACTTCTTTTGCCATCTCGCCTCTCTTACGCCTTTTTTTGAACACTTCTATCTGTTCAGTAGCTTGCTCTTTCTTGCCTCTCGACTCTAAGTGCTTTCTTGCTTCTCTTCGAATCCCAGCCTCCCAGGTACTCTTTCTCTGTGTCTTTCTCAGTTGATTGTTTGAGGGTAATTTGATGCTATTGATGGTCCCAGGTCCGTCAATGGTTGGTGGTTTCTTAAGGCTGTCAATGGTTGGTNAAATGGTTCCATCTTTCATCTTTTTCTTAAGAGTTATTTAAAATATTTTGAATTATTATATATATTGTCTAAATGCATAAGATATGACTGGTGGTATAGGAATTGGAACTTGAATTCCGGTTCAAATATTTCAAACAGTTGCAACCTTTTGAAGTCAAAACCGTTGCATCTTGAATGACCGAACAAGTGTGTTAGCAACGGTGTTTTTTTTAACTGCTCTTTGTTCCCAGCGATTGGGCAAAAGCTTCTGCCTATATAANGTGGTTGATTAAAGTTGTGATCCAGACTTGGGAAATTTAATTTATATTATGGTTTTTAGCCCTGCATTATCAAATGATTAGGGTTGTTGATCATGACTTTGTTTTTCAGTATGCTGTTTTTTTGTTTTTCAATTTCACCTTATTGTATCTCTCTCCGTATTAGTTGTTATTATATTTGAGCAACAATTATGATGGATTGATATTTATGTCTTGGGCTTTCTTGTGTTTTATTANTTTACAAGGGTTGTGTGTTTTGTTCTAATTACTGAGTCTTTGGCTTGAGAACGTGAATAATGGAGAAGAAAAGAGCGCCCATCTTGGGTAACAGTCCTTTACTTATGCAATGACTCCTTTAGGGTTTCTTGTTGCTCCTATTTCTTTTGCACTGATTTCGTTAGTCTCTGTCATCTGGCGTCACTGTTCTCACGATCTCTGAATGGTTATGCGCACCAATATACTCTACATTTGGGAGTGTGTGACTGCTGGGGATGTCAATAATGGTCCCTTTACCCTTTGGACATGCGGCGCAACGGAGTGCTCCAGAGTTCGTATTAGGCTGGGCCTTTTTACAATGGGCTGCTCATTGACCGGACATGATTTGGTTGCAAGTCTTCTAGTGAAGTTGGGCTTTTTCTCCTAGGGTTCGGCCTTTTAGACTTCCAACAAGGCAAGCTGTGGACCCCCTATTTGTGTTGTTGGGTAATCAAAGAGTTCCTGAGCTTATTGGGTTTTTGAATTATAGAGGCTCATGCCTTAATTTTCATCCTTATCAAATACTAATAGTTGTTGGAATAAATTAGGTTTTTTCTTTTTTAAAAATGGTTCCATCTTTCATCTTTTTCTTAAGAGTTATTTAAAATATTTTGAATTATTATATATATTGTCTAAATGCATAAGATATGACTGGTGGTATAGGAATTGGAACTTGAATTCCGGTTCAAATATTTCAAACAGTTGCAACCTTTTGAAGTCAAAACCGTTACATCTTGAATGACCGAACAAGTGTGTTAGCAACGGTGTTTTTTTTAACTGCTCTTTGTTCCCAGCGATTGGGCAAAGCTTCTGCCTATATGAAGGCAAAATCAATGAGTATTTAGATACATGAAAAATCTCCCAGCAACTTAAAAAAAACCTTTGTTTCATTTGGTCTTCGTACAAGGAAAAGTTGTCAGAAATTTTTAGTCTCATTTTACTTTGGTTGTTCACAAAGAGTTTTGTTATTATCTACATTCTTGAATATTTTGATTATATTAATTTTCGGACAACTCGATTAGAGTCAGATTCATCCCTACTTTTCAGTGTACGTAAACTCTAAAGAGTTCTTACTTTTGAATTTGAGTTGAATTTTGAAGTCGTTGCAGTCCGCTAATACCTTCACGTAAGAAGATTCAGTCACTTTAGGACAACGTTTCAACGTGACTCGTAGATTATCAAAGACTAGATCTTTTTAATTTATTTTTCATTGTTTTATATTGTGTTCAATTGTATTTGTTTTATTATTAGTTTTACATTTGATACACATGTCAATAATTATATTATATGCATCCACAATATATAATTTGTTACTATCAAAACTAGTTTATTAAGTTGTTATTATTTCACAAATTTATCCATTATTTAGTTTAATTATTAAATTATCTGTGTTGGGCTTATTCTTTTAATTTTGCTAAGTTGGTGATCACTTCGGTGTTTTTCGTTCATACAATAGTTATGTTTTAAACGATAATCGACGTTTGGAACCGATTAGTAAAAATCTCAAAAACAAAACCTTTATACTATTCAAAGTCGCAAAATACGGACAGTAGATACAAAAAGAATTAGACCAGCTGACAGATGGTTTGATGTGTGGCCTTCTAATCATTGCGAAACATGTATAGACCCACCGCCGAAGCCACCACCGTGCCTGCAAAGAACGACGCAAACCTCACTCTCAGTACGTATCCCATTTTTTTTTATATTCTACTTCCTTGTTGGTGACATATATATATATATATATGATGAAATTAAGAGCCTTCAAAATTTTGATTATTCGTAATTTCTTACTCTACTCAATTTTATCCAACTCTATTGATTGATTATACGGGTAGGATAGAGTAAGAATACGAAAATTTAATAAATATTCACATTTTTACCGCTTTCACATTCCTACCGCATATATATATATATATAAACTAAAAATTCTAATTGCCTAACGCCTCATCACTTCCTCAAGATTTAGGACCTCATCTGTCTTATCTCTCTCGCATTTAGTCTCCTCATCTTGCCTCCCTCACCAGTCACTTCTTTTGCCATCTCGCCTCTCTTACGCCTTTTTTTGAACACTTCTATCTGTTCAGTAGCTTGCTCTTTCTTGCCTCTCGACTCTAAGTGCTTTCTTGCTTCTCTTCGAATCCCAGCCTCCCAGGTACTCTTTCTCTGTGTCTCTCTCAGTTGATTGTTTGAGGGTAATTTGATGCTATTGATGGTCCCAGGTCCGTCAATGGTTGGTGGTTTCTTAAGGCTGTCAATGGTTGGTGGTTGATTAAAGTTGTGATCCAGACTTGGGAAATTTAATTTATATTATGGTTTTAAAATGGTTTTTAGCCCTGCATTATCAAATGATTAGGGTTGTTGATCATGACTTTGTTTTTCAGTATGCTGTTTTTTTGTTTTTCAATTTCACCTTATTGTATCTCTCTCCGTATTAGTTGTTATTATATTTGAGCAACAATTATGATGGATTGATATTTATGTCTTGGGCTTTCTTGTGTTTTATTATAATTATTTTAGGTTTTAGTGTTGTTGATTTATTATATTATTAAATTGGTGCAAATTATTTAATTGAATTGTTAAAATGATTTAAAAATTAATAACTACAAAAGTGTTCACCCCACTTTCTACTCGATTGANTATAATTATTTTAGGTTTTAGTGTTGTTGATTTATTATATTATTAAATTGGTGCAAGTTATTTAATTGAATTGTTAAAATGATTTAAAAATTAATAATTACAAAAGTGTTCACCCGACTTTCTACTCGATTAATTTGNTCTGTCATCTGGCGTCACTGTTCTCACGATCTCTGAATGGTTATGCGCACCAATATACTCTACATTTGGGAGTGTGTGACTGCTGGGGATGTCAATAATGGTCCCTTTACCCTTTGGACATGCGGCGCAACGGAGTGCTCCAGAGTTCGTATTAGGCTGGGCCTTTTTGCCATGGGCTGCTCATTGACCGGACATGATTTAGTTGCAAGCCTTCTAGTGAAGTTGGGCTTTTCCTCCTAGGGTTCGGCCTTTTAGACTTCCAACAAGGCAAGCTGTGGACCCCCTATTTGTGTTGTTGGGTAATCAAAGAGTTCATGAGCTTATTGGGTTCTTGAATTATAGAGGCTCATGCCTTAATTTTCATCCTTATCAAATACTAATAGTTGTTGGAATAAATTAGGTTTTTTCTTTTTTAAAAATGGTTCCATCTTTCATCTTTTTCTTAAGAGTTATTTAAAATATTTTGAATTATTATATATATTGTCTAAATGCATAAGATATGACTGGTGGTATAGGAATTGGAACTTGAATTCCAGTTCAAATATTTCAAACAGTTGCAACCTTTTGAAGTCAAAACCGTTACATCTTGAATGACCGAACAAGTGTGTTAGCAACGGTGTTTTTTTTAACTGCTCTTTGTTCCCAGCGATTGGGCAAAGCTTCTGCCTATATGAAGGCAAAATCAATGAGTATTTAGATACATGAAAAATCTCCCAGCAACTTAAAAAAAACCTTTGTTTCATTTGGTCTTCGTACAAGGAAAAGTTGTCAGAAATTTTTAGTCTCATTTTACTTTGGTTGTTCACAAAGAGTTTTGTTATTATCTACATTCTTGAATATTTTGATTATATTAATTTTCGGACAACCCGATTAGAGTCAGATTCATCCCTACTTTTCAGTGTACGTAAACTCTAAAGAGTTCTTACTTTTGAATTTGAGTTGAATTTTGAAGTCGTTGCAGTCCGCTAATACCTTCACGTAAGAAGATTCAGTCACTTTAGGACAACGTTTCAACGTGACTCGTAGATTATCAAAGACTAGATCTTTTTAATTTATTTTTCATTGTTTTATATTGTGTTCAATTGTATTTGTTTTATTATTAGTTTTACATTTGATACACATGTCAATAATTATATTATATGCATCCACAATATATAATTTGTTACTATCAAAACTAGTTTATTAAGTTGTTATTATTTCACAAATTTATCCATTATTTAGTTTAATTATTAAATTATCTGTGTTGGGCTTATTCTTTTAATTTTGCTAAGTTGGTGATCACTTCGGTGTTTTTCGTTCATACAATAGTTATGTTTTAAACGATAATCGACGTTTGGAACCGATTAGTAAAAATCTCAAAAACAAAACCTTTATACTATTCAAAGTCGCAAAATACGGACAGTAGATACAAAAAGAATTAGACCAGCTGACAGATGGTTTGATGTGTGGCCTTCTAATCATNATTTGGATAGAAGTTGGGTGGAAATATCAAGAAAAAATTCTTTCATAAAATATCGAATAGAAAGATAAAAAATTATATTTCTTCCCCATTGCGTAAGGCGAATACCCTCGTACGAAGTACCTCAACGACATAGAAGAAGAAAGCAATAGAGCGGCGAGCACCTGGGTTGTTTCAGTATTCATGGGCTGCATTCTTGGGCCTAGNATTTGGATAGAAGTTGGGTGGAAATATCAAG